CTTCAAAACAATGAAGTCACGTAGGTGTTTTTATAATGTGACAAGAATATTTATTTTCATTGCTGACAAGTATTTACATTTTTCCACCATGAGGTTAACCTAATCTTGTACCTTGTCATTTTCTCTCTCCTACAGAGGTAAATCCTCTGTCTATAAATGTATACAACCATAATCCCTTGAGCCATGCAAAGACAGCGTGCCAGTTTTCACTGTGTAACATCTACTTAGTAGCTCAAGGGGTAGCTGACAAAGAAGTAATTAAGAAAAAACAGATTTCACAAGCCAATAAAAATTCTCCCCTTAGCGCAGCTTGAGAACTACAAAGGTAGGACTTAAATCTAGAGATAAACATTAGATAATTAGCTCCTAAGCCCTTTCAAAATGAAGATTTCTCTAAAAATTGAGCTTAAAGCCACTCTATATAATTAATGTCAGTTAAATCTAGCAACCTTTTTCTAAGCTTTTGTAATTTTAGAAAAGCTGGCATTAGATGACCAAAAAATACAAAATATATTTACCTTTAAGGAAAGAAAAATAGAGCAATTTGAGCTATGTGAACTATACAAAATGTACCAGGCCTAGAGAAACATGAGTGTGGGACTTCATTCGGGCATCCCCCCACCCATGTCCAGAGGCAAATGTTAAAAGGCATTTTTGTTCCTGACTAGTAACGACGACGATAAAAAAAAAAGCATTTTTGTTCCTCACTCATTATCATCATGTTTCTAGAATTTGTGATAGAAAGAACAATGTATAGCCAATTGATAGCTTATGTTATTTTAACGTAAATTCCTGGTAAACAATGTAGAAACTGCTTTTTCTTTTTTCCTTAAAAGCCCACTGTGACTGCTGCTAATCAAAGAATGGACTAAGGGCAACTTGAATGTATGCTCTTGGGTGACCATCCTCAAGCTTTGGCCTCAAATAAACTCTGCTTAATTATATTTTCTGAATTTCATTATTTAAGGTTGACACCTTTAAAGTACTGAATTCTTTCAATATACGTGATTGTGAGCCTACATTCCAGACACTATCCTTAGCCCTGGAGTTACAAAGGTGAATAAGACATGGCCTCTGCTCTCAAGAAGCTTGCGGTCTAGGGCAAATGAGCTTGTAATTCCATTTTTATAATAATTATTCAAAATTCAGGAACCCTGGATTGTCATAAACCTCTGGAAGTGTATTCCCTAGATCCTAACAGGTCTCATCTAAACTAGTTCCGATGACTGCACATGCTTATTTCTCTTGTTGAGAACTTAGAAAAATATAGTAAATCCCTACTGTTAATGATAGAGACAGGAGATAGCCAAGGGTCCCCAGTGAAACCCCACCTTCAAGCCTAAAACAGCCTGAAGGCTGAAAAACTGGACTGCTGGTCCTGGATGAAGCCCGTCCTTTCAGAAGGCTTCTTTCTGAATAATGCCCACCTGTGCACTGGGAGAATGGGGTGGAGCCTCAGCAAGTTCATGCCGTTTGCAGTGAGGAGGAGCCTGGCCTCCCCAGTTCCTGAGTGGGATGACCTGGGATTCAATCTGTAAGGCGGGAGACCTGCTAGCAGGAATTTCTCTCACTTTGCTGAGAGTTACTTTTCCTTTTTCCTTTTTGCCCAATAAATTCCACTCCTCACCCTTCTGTGTGTCTGTGAGCCTAATCTATCCCAGTCATGTGACAAGAACTTGGTTTTAGCTGAACTAAGGAGAAAGTTTTGCAACATTAATTTTATGTGCCTTTAATAATCAATAAAAGCCATCAAAAAGAAAAATAGCATCTAGTAGATGTTCAGTATAAACATAATCAAACATTCACTAGTCTGTTAGCAAATGATTAAAAGTGTTTATATTAGTAGTCAAATGATAACTTTTCTCTAAAATTTTCTCAGAAAGCTTACAAAATCTGTGGGATCTTTGAAGCCTAGATCCCACATCCCATCATGGGAAGATGATTTGCGATCTGAATCATTTTTCTTTGCAGGATGTTTTGTGTCTGTAGCCATATTTTGGTATTCAGAGACAAATCAAATGCCTAGCTCATAGTTTCTTTATTAACTGCAATGTCCCACTGCCTAATGAAAGATTCAGGTAACTTTAGCAGATGAGAGTTTATTTTTAAGCCACTTCTGCTGTTTTCTTACTCTCAAAGTGAAAAGTATTCCCCTCAAATAAACAAGATGAAAAGAGAGTCTTTCTTAACAGTACAAACGCACAGTTGCACTAGTTTTGGAACTTTAGTAAAGTTGAAGACTACCTATTTTGACGATTTCTCTCAATATAACAGAAGACCAGCAGTTCCGCTACTTTGACAGGCAAAGCAAAATGGTGCTGTCTAAGCAGTACTTACACTTCATCTTCTGGTCTTTCTCCTTTTCCCAAGTCCTGGCTTTCCCTGAGAGAGAGAACTGACAGTGCAGTAATTTAAAGGTTACAAAGTGAAGAAAGAGCTTGAAAGTGCAATTTTACTCTTTTTTTAAAATTTTTATTTATTTTTATTATTATACTTTAAGATCTGGGGTACATGTGCACAACGTGCAGGCTTGTTACATATGTATACATGTGCCATGTTGGTGTGCTGCACCCATTAACTCGTCATTTACATGAGGTATATCTCCTAATGCTATCCCTCTCCCCTACCCCCTCCCCACAACAGGCCCCGGTGTGTGGTGTTCCCCTTCCTGTGTCCAAGTGATCTCATTGTTCAATTCCCACCTATGAGTGAGAACATGCGGTATTTAGTTTTCTGTTCTTGCAACAGTTTGCTGAGAATGATGGTTTCCAGCTGCATCCATGTCCCTACAAAGGACACAAACGCATCCTTTTTTTATGGCTGCATAGTATTCCATGGTGTATATGCACCACATTTTCTTAATGCAGTCTGTCACTGATGGACATTTGGGTTGATTCCAAGTCTTTGCTATTGTGAATAGTGCTGCAATAAACATATGTGTGCATGTGTCTTTATAGAAGCATGACTTATAATCCTTTGGGTATATCCCCAGTAATGGGATGGTTGGGTCAAATGGTATTTCTAGTTCTAGATCCTTGAGGAATCACCACACTGTTTTCCACAACGGTTGAACTAGTTTACAGTCCCATCAACAGCGTAAAAGTGTTCCTATTTCTCCACATCCTCTCCAGCACTTGTTGTTTCCTGATTTTTTAATGATTGCCATTCTAACTGGTGTGAGATGGTACCTCATTGTGGTTTTGATTTGCATTTCTCTGATGGCCAGTGATGATGAGCATTTTTTCACGTGTCTGTTGGCTGTATGAATGTCTTCTTTTGAGAAGTGTTTGTTCATATCCTTTGCCCACTTTTTGATGGGGTTGTTTGTTTTTTTCTTGTAAATTTGTTTGAGTTCTTTATAGGTTCTGGATATGAGCCCTTTGTCAGATGAGTAGATCGCAAAAATTTTCTCCCATTCTGTAGGTTGCCTGTTCACTCTGATGGTAGTTTCTTTTGCTGTGCAGAAGCTTTTTAGTTTAATGAGATCCCATTTGTCTATTTTGGCTTTTGTTGCCATTGCTTTTGGTGTTTTAGACATGAAGTCCTTGCCCATGCCTATGTCCTGAATGGTATTACCTAGGTTTTCTTCTACGGTTTTTATGGTTTTAGGTCTAACATTTAAGTCTCGAATCCATGTTGAATTAATTTTTGGTCTTGACTCTTTATGCAATTTGCCAGTGTGTGTCTTTTAATTGGACATTTTAGTCCATTTACATTTAAGGTTAATATTGTTATGTGTGAACTTGATCCTGTCATTATGATATTAGCTGGTTATTTTGCTCATTAGTTGATGCAGTTTCTTCCTAGCATCGATGGACTTTACATTTTGGCATGTTTTTGCAATGGCTGGTACCGGTTGTTCCTTTCCATGTTTAGTGCTTCCTTCAGGATCTCTTGTAGGGCAGGCCTGGTGCTGACAAAATCTCTAAGCATTTGCTTGTCTGTAAAGGATTTTATTTCTCCTTCACTTATGAAACTTAGTTTGGTTGGATATGAAATTCTGGGTTTAAAATTCTTTTCTTTAAGAATGTTGAATATTGGCCCCCACTCTCTTCTGGCTTGTAGAGTTTCTGCCAAGAGATCTGCTGTTAGTCTGATGGGCTTCCCTTTGTGGGTAACCTGACCTTTCTCTCTGGCTGCCCTTAACATTTTTTCCTTCATTTCAACTTTGGTGAATCCGACAATTATGTGTCTTGGAGTTGCTCTTCTCAAGGAGTATCTTTGTGGTGTTCTCCATATTTCCTGAATTTGAATGCTGGCCTGCCTTACTAGGTTGGGGAAGTTCTCCTGGATGATATCCTGCAGAGTGTTTTCCAACTTGGTTCCATTTTCCCCGTCACTTTCAGTCACACCAATCAGACGTAGATTTGGTCTTTTCACATAATCCCATATTTCTTGGAGGCTTTGTTCATTTATTTTTACTCTTTTTTCTCTACACTTCTCTCCTCACTTCATTTCATTCATTTGATCTTCAATCATTGATACTCTTTCTTCCAGTTGGTCAAGTCGGTTACTGAAGCTTCTGCATTTGTCACGTAGTTCTCGTGTCATGGTTTTCATCTCTATCAGTTCTTTTAAGGTCTTCTCTGCATTGATTATTCTAGTTATCCATTCATCCACTCTTTTTTCAAGGTTTTTAGTTTCTTTGTGCTAGTTAAGTAGTTCCTCCTTTAGCTCTGAGAAGTTTGATCGACTGAAGCCTTCTTCTCTCAACTCGTCAAAGTCATTCTCTGTCCAGCTTTGTTCCGTTGCTGGCGATGAGTTGCGTTCCTTTGGAGGGGGAGATGCACTCTGATTTTTTGAATTTCCAACTTTTCTGCACTGCTTTTTCCCCATGTTTGTGGTTTTATCTGCCTTTGGTCTTTGATGATGGTGACGTACTGATGGGGTTTTGGTGTGGGTGTCCTTTCTGTTTGTTAGTTTTCCTTCTAACAGTCAGAACCCTCAGCTGCAGGTCTGCTGGAGTTTGCTTGAGGTCCACTCCAGACCCTGTTTGCCTGGGTATCAGCAGCGGAGGCTGCAGAAGATAGAATATTGCTGAACTGCAAGCGTTGCTGTCTGATTCTTGCTCTGGATGCTTCATCTCAGGGTGTACCCAGCCTGTGTGAGGTGTCATGTGTCAGTCTGCACCTCAGTTGAAAATGCAGAAATCACCCATCTTCTGTGTAACTCACTCTGGGAGCTGGAGACTGGAGCTATTCCTACTCGGCCATCTTGGGTGTCACCTCGCAATTTCACTCGTGACTCTTAAGAAACTTAGGAAAATACAGGTTAAAAAAAATTTTGGAAACGTTTCAATGTGGCCACTAGTAGATCTACGACTTCCTCCTAAATGACATCATATATTGGCAAGGATGCGAAGAAGGGGGAACACATACACTGTTGCTGAAAATGTAAATTAGCACGATCATTATGGAAAACAATTCCTCAACAAACTTCAAATAGAACAACCATATGATCCAGCAATCTCACTACTGGGTATATATCCAAAGGAAAGGAAATCGGTATGTCAAAGAGATATCTGCATTCCGTGTTTACTGCAGCACTATTCACAAGAGCCAAGACATGCAATCAACCAAAGTGTCCATCAACAGATGAATGTCTAATGAAAACATGGTGTATACATATATATGTATAATTGTGTGTATACATATGTGTATATATGTGTGTGTGTTTCATATATATAATGTATATGTATATGGGGTGGAGAATAGGTATATATGGGGTGGAAAGGAAAAAGAAGCCAATGTGAGTGTATTAGTACTGCCAAAGGAAACAGGTTTGATTTGTCTGAATAAGGACAAGAATTCATGTATTCATAAACTGATGGGACATAGTCACAGGTGAGGTTTATAGATACAAAGATACAGCTAAATAGGAGGATTATTGTTTACATATGTCAAAATATTATACTGTACCCCATAAATAAGTACAATTATTATGTATCGGTTAAAAATAATAAAATCAAAACATAGAATATAAAGCAAAATAAGAAAAATTATTACACAAGGGAAGAAATATAAAATGATACAAGAAACACAAATTATGTAAATTAGAGAAATTAATTAAGCTTCCATCCACATAAAAAAAGTCTCTCATCTTGAGTTATAATACAAAATCTAACCTCAGACTGTTTAAAGGAAACATACCTAAAATAAACTGTCCATGATCTATCAAACAAGTGTCAAAAATATCAAGGTTTACTCTATTAAATCAGACAAAGAATTTAAGGCAAAATATTAAACAGTTTCTATGGACTAAATAGTATAATCCAAATCGATTGAGTTGGAGTTTACTCAAAAGCAGAGCCTGAGAAAATAATGTGTATGCAGGTAATTAATTTGGGAGGTGAGTCTAGGGAACAAAAGTAATAGAACAGAAAAAGTGGGTGAGGAAGGAGAAAGAAGCCAATGTAACTATGTATTATTGCTGCCAAGGGAAATAGTGGTTTGATTTGTCCATATAAGGACGAGAAACGGGAAATTTATTCATCGGCTCCCAATTGTTATTAGCGGAGGGTTGCCCGTAACGGTTTTATTCCTAAGTACTTCCAAACTGCATGTGTGTATGGGCTGAGTGGGCTCACACAAGAGTCCTAAGCTTTGAAGAAGTCCCTGAACATAAAGTGAAAGACTTGATGGATGAGCTTAAGGCACACACTGTTAGCCTGAGATAAGATGAAGCCCTTACAAAACTGTCCATTACAGCTGTGGCTGGAATTAGAGATAAAGCATAGAGGTTATGATTCAGAGCAACAGAGAAGTCTGATAGGACAGGGTTCTCTGAATAGGTGATGTTTGAGCGGGGACTTAAAGAAATGGAGGAATTGAGTTGTGTGAATATTTAGGGGAAGAAAAACCCAGGCAGAAGGAACACAAGGATGAATTTTTAATGATGATGAAAAGCCTTTAAAGAGTTTGAACAGAAGAATGCACTGACTCTCATTTTGAAACAATCATTTTTGCATTTTTGTATAGGTAATGGAGAGAGTGGGAAAAGAATGGAGGTGAAAAAGAATCATAGAGAGCCTAAAATAATTATACTTAAAATGAGTAAAGAGAAAAAAGGAGACAGGAATCTGTATAAAAGAATGAGATACTATTTTTAAAAAATCACACATTTGAAAACTCATCAAAAAATAAGATTATGGTAATTGAAATTGAGAAATTGGCTTAAACAGCAATTTGACACACTGACAGACAGAAATAGAAAACTGAAAGATATGTCTGAGGAAATAATTCAAAATGCAGTATGAGAACATACAGATTTAAAAAACAGGAAAGAGAAACTAAAGGACCGAATGAGTGAAATGAAAAGGTCCAATATAGAGTTCTAGAGAGAAAAAGAGAACAAAAATATCTGAGAAGAAAATGACTGAGAATATTCCATACTTGATAAATGATGTCAGACTAGACTCAAATTGTGTGCCATATGCAAATTAATTAAATTCATATAATTCATTGTATTACCCAAATAAAACAGAAAACCTCCTAATTATTTCAATAGATGCAGAAAAATCAATTCCTAAAATTCAACATCCATTTATTAATTTTAAAAAACCTTGGCAAACAAAAAGTAAAAGGGAATCTCCTCTAAAATGGGCAATAAATGAGAAAAATATCCAGCTAAGTTTTTGTTAAATAATGCAATATGGAACATTTTCTTCTTGGCTTGGTAATAATGCAAGAATTGACACTAACCCACCTCTGTTCAGCATTGCACTAGAGATCCTAGCAAGTTAAACAAGGCAAGGAAAAATAAGAAAGACATAAATATCTGAGACAAGGAAAAATACTTTTATTATCAAATATAATTGTATTAATAAAAAATCCAAAAAACATTTAAACTACTGGAAATAATAAGTGATTTTAGGAATATTGCTCGCTTGAAGATTATGTTACTCAGGGTTCCTCAGAGAGACAGAACCAATAGGAGAGGCATAGATAGACACACAGACAGATAAGATTTATAAGGGAATTGACTTATGTAATCATATAGAGTCTCAGAAGTCCCACAAGAGACCATCTGCAAGCTAGAGACCTTGAGGTATGGGTAGACTGGCTAAGTTCAATTCCAAAAGCTTCATACTAAGGGAGCTGGTTGTGTATGTTCAGTACAAAGCCAAAGGACTAGAACCTGGGGGGCCACTGGTGTAAGTCTTTAATCTAAAGGCCAGACAGCTTGAAGTTCTAATGTCTAAGAGTAGGTGAAGAAGAGTGTTTCAGCTTCAGGAAAAAGAGAGAGAAAAAAGAAATCACCTTTCCTCTGAATTTTTGCTCTATTCAGGCCCCCCAACCTATTGGATGATGCCTGCCCAACTGAGGGAGGAGAATTCTATAATGAGAGAATTCTATAAACAGTAAGGGAAAAGCATCAAGTAACATAAAGGGAATCTCCATTAGACTAGCAGCAGATTTCCCAGCAGAAGCTTTGCAGACTGGAAGGGAATGGACTGTATTCAAAGTGTCAGTCAAGAACACTATACCCGGCAAAGCCATCCCTCAGAAATGGAGGAGAAAGAAAGTCCTTCATAGACAAGCAAAGGCTGAGGGAAATTATCATCACTAGAGCAGCCTTACAGAAATACTTAAAGGAGCACTGCAACTGAAATTAAAAGAGTAATAATTGCTATCATAAATACACACACATGACACTATAAAACTCACTAGTAGAGGCTGGGAATGGTGGTTCATGCCTGTAATCCCAACACTTTGGCAGGCTAAGGCAGGCAGATCACAAGGTCAGGAGTTCGAGACCAGCCTGGCCAGCATGGTGAAACCCTATCTCTACTAAAAATACAAAAAATTAGCTGGGCACAGTGGCGCATGCCTGTAGTCCCAGCTACTCAGGACAATTGCTTGAACCCAGCAGGCAGAGGTTGCAGTGAGCTGAGATCATGCCACTGCACTCTAGCCTGGGTGACAGAGTAAGACTCCATCTCAAAAAAAAAAAAAAGAAAAGAGAAGAAAAAAAACCTCACTATTAGAGGTAAATTCATAATCAAAATCATAATACTCCAAAACTGTACATGTGCTCTGTAAATATTTCTAATCCCTAGCATAAAGGCCAAAAGTAAAAACAGAAAAAAATAAATAAATAAATAAGTAAATAACTACACCTACGGTTAGTTGTTAAGTAACTCACAATATACAAAGATGTAAATTAAGGCAACAAAAATATAAATTGTGGGGTGAGATAATAAAAGTCTACAGTATTTTTATGCAACCAAAGTTAAGTTGTTGTCAGCTTAAAATAGTCTATTAAAACCACAATTTTTTTATATTAGCCCCTTGCTAACCACAAAGAAAGAAATTGCAGCTGACACACAAACAAAAGTAAGAAAGAAATTAAAGCTTAGCACCACAGAAAACCACCATACCACAAAGGTAAATAAGAGAGGAGGAAAAGAACAAAGGATCTACAAATCAACAAGAAAACAATTAATAAAATGGCAGGAGTAAGTCCTTGCCTATCAGTAATCATCTTATATGTAAATGAATTCAATTCTCCAATTAAAATATATAAACCACATGAATCGATCAAAAATAAGACCCAACCATATGCTGCCTACAAGAGACTCCACTTTATCTGTAAGGACATGTAGTTATTTACTGTAAACCAAAACTAGATTGTAAGGTTTAATGAATAGGAAGATATTCCATGCAAACTGAAATCAAAAGTGAGTAGAAGTAGCTATGCTTATGTCAGATTAAAAAAGGATCTTACAATCTATTTTTGGTTTACAGTCAAAAATTATTTTAAAACCCCAAAAGGTCATTATACAATGTTAAAGGGAAATAACAAGAGGAAATAATAAGAGAAATAATTCAGGAAGAGGATGTAATAAATAAATAAATAAATGTGTATATATATATATATATATATATACACACACACACACACACACACACACACACACACATACACATACACACATCTAATATAGGAGCACCCAAATATATACAGCAAATATTATTAGATCTAAAGGAAGAGATAGACTTCAATGCAATAGTAGGGAACTTCAACAACCCACTTTTAGTAATGAACAGATCATCCAGACAAAATAAACAAACATCACATTTAAACTAGACCAGGCCAGGTGCAGTGGCTCACACCTGTAATCCCACCACATAGGGAGACCAAGGCGAGTGAATCGCTTGAGCTCAGGAGTTTGAGACCAGCCAGGCCAACATGGTGAAACTCCATCTCTACTAAAAATACAAAAATTAGCCAGACGTGGTGGCACACCCCTGTAGTCTCAGCTACTTGGGAGGCTGAGGCAGGAGGATCACTTGAACCTGGAAGGTGGAGGTTGCAGTGAGCCAAGATCCTGCCACTGCACTCCAACCTGGGTGACAAAGCGAGACTGTCTAATAAGTAAATAAATATAAAAAGATAAACTAGACCAAATGAACCTTACAGACATTTACAAAACATTAAATCCAACAGTTGCAGAATGTACCTTCTTCTCAAATGCACATGGAGTGTTCTTCGGGACAGATCATATGTTAAGCCTCAAAGCAAATCTTAATAAGTGTAAGAAGATAGGGATCTTATCACATGTGTTTTCTGATCACATTGGTATAAAACTAGAAATCAATTAAAAGAGGAACATCAGAAACTGTACAAATACATGGAAATTCAACAACATGTTCTCAATAATCAAAAGATCAATAACAATATTAAAATGGAAAGTTTTTAATTTCTTGAGGTAAACAAGAAAGGAAAAATAACATACCAAAACCTATGGAATACAGCAAAAATAGTTATTAGAGGAGGGTTTATTGCAATAAATGCCTACATCAAAAAAGGAAAAATACCTCAATTTAAAAACCTAATGTAGGCCATGATAAAGACTTCATGATAAAAGCTTCAAAAGCAATTGCAAAAAAAAAAAACCCAAAAACTGATAAGTAGGAACTAAGTAAAATGAAGAGCTTCTGCACAGCAAAACATAAAATAAAAATAAACAGACAACCTACAGAATGGGAGAAAATATTTGCAAACTCTGCATCTCACAATGGTCTAATATCCAGAATCTTTAAGGAACTTAAACAGATTAACAAGCAGAGAACTAATAACTCCATTTAAAAAAGGGATAAATGACACGAACAGACACTTCTCAAAAAAAGACATACATACAACATAAAACCAATAAGGATCCCATTTTTTTTCTACAAATGCTTTCGTTTTAACAGCAGACATCTCACAAGCTGAGAATTCAACTTTAGTTGTAATTCTCAGGAAATATCTCCTTCATTTACATAAAGCGTACACCAAGTAACCAATGGAAACCTCTAGAGTGTATTTAAACCCCAGAAAATTCAGTAATGGAATTCTTGAGCCCCTATGCTTGGGCCCGCTCCCACACTGTGGAATGGTTTGTGTTTGACTTAGCAATTTCAGCCTTATGGCTACAGGAGAGATTCTTCTCTAGGGCATACGTAGAAGCTCTTACACTGTCTATATGGAGATGAAGACAGGAATTCGAATCCCTGAACTCAAACTTTTCTTTCATTGCTTTGTCCAGCAACATTAGAAGAAACCAACCAACATCATTATATTCCCTGGTTTTACACAAATGTTTGAAAGTGTCATATACAGAATTACCAAGTTCCTTGCCTTTTGTAAATAACTGATTTACATATCCAATGCAAATATTTTGTGTATTTCTATAAACATTTCACACCATGGACTATGAGAGTACAGAGTGCTTTCTATATATTAGAAGTAGTGGCCGGGCAGTGGCTCATGCCCGTAATCGTAGCACTTTGGAAAGCTGAGTCAGGTGGATTGCTTGAGCTCAGGAGTTCAAAACCAGCTTGAGCAATATGATGAAACCTCATCTCTACCAAAAACACAAAAATTAGCCAGGCATGGTGGTGCATGCCTGTGGTCCCAGCTACGTGGGAGGCTGAGGTGGGAGGATCACTTGAGCTTAGGAAGTTGAGGCTGCAGTGAGCTGAGACTGTGCCACTGCACTCCAGCCTGGGCAACAGAGACATTGCTTCAAAAAGAAAGGTAGTGTTCTGAGCATTTTTAGGTCTAATCAGATTAGAAAGAAAATTCCAGAAACCCCAAAACCAATTATGAAAATTCATCTTCAAAATTCTTTTCCCCAAGAGCCATTCCTGGTACCAAAATCTTTATTAGTCAGGGTTCTTCAGAGAGACAGAGCTAATAGGATATAGATAGATGGATGGATGAATAGTAGGTAGGTAGGTAGACAGATAGATAGATAGATAGATAGATAGATAGATAGATAGATAGATAGGCACATAGATACATAGATAGATACATAGTTACATAGATAGATGAGAGGATTTATTAGAGAAATTGGTTCATGCAATTATGAAGGATTAGAAGTCCCACAACAGGTTGTCCGTAAGCTAGAGATCCTGAGATGCTGGTAGTGTGTCTCAGCTCAAGTTCCAAAACCTCAGAGACAGGGGAGCTGATGGTGTAACTCTCAGCCCAAGGCCCAAAACCTGAGAACACAAGGTGTTACTGTGAAACCATCCTCAGAAAATTAATAAAAAGAAATTGTTAGGACTTTAACAAAGGCAAAAGCTTTGCATAGAAGTATTGCGAAGCATTAACCAGCTTGCCCTATAGCCCTCTTCCCCGACAGGAGAATAGGACCTGGAGACAGGAAACCTAAGGACTTCCTAGAACTAAATCAAATGGAAACACTTCAGCTATGACAGGAAATATCCCCTGTATTTACACAGCGTGCACACCAAGTAACCAATGGAAATCTCTAGAGGGTATTTAAATCCCAGAAAATTCAGTAATGGGACTCTTGAGGCTCCATGCTTGGGTCCACTCCCACCCTGTGGAATGTATGTTTGTTTTAAATAAATCTTTGCTTCTGTTGCTTCATTCTTTCCTGCTTTGTTTGTACGTTTTGTCCAATTCTTTGTTCAAGATGCCAAGAACCTGGACACACCTGCACCAGTAATGTATTTTGGCAAACCAGCCAGGAGGTAAGCCCAAAGTTTAGGATTTGTTTTTCTCATTTTCCTTTCTGCTTCATACAGGAGAATCTCTCCCTCTCTCTCTCCTTTGCTTTCAAACTTAGGACCCTTGGTGGGCAGCAGCTAAATACAGAGGGAATGGCAGATTTCTGGCCAGGGCCACTCTGAAGGACTATTTTTAATGTTTTCCGTTTGTGGTCCCCGATCCCTACATGTGGCACAGCTCAGAGTGAACTCACACGTTTTAAGTGATGTAAACCTTTTCTTATGCTAAATTCTTCCCTTAACCAACTCAATTGGCTAAGGACAAAGGAAACCTACCCAGCCTCCAGTTCCTATCATTAGTTCATGGCTATCACTAGTGGAATGGGAAGCATGGGAAAGCATGGTCTTATCAAATTATAAGGATGCTGGAAGTTGAGGCCTTCGTCCAGGGACAAAACGAAAGCTCATAGTAGGTCATTGCCTCTGGAAGGAAAGTGGCACTGGTGCCCACTTAAAGTCAGATTGGACCGCAAAGGGGGACACCCCAGTGGATCCTCTGGACCTCAACCTTTCCAAAGGGGATGCCCTTGACAGATGTTCTGTGGTCTAGTACTAAACCGTTCTTAGAGTTTTCTCTCACAGTTGCAATACTGTTTGGCTCCAATATTGTTTGGAATCTGGAGTTTGCTGTTAAATGAGAAAGTGGAATGGAGTTGTATGCATTCAGGCTTTTGTGCTGCTGTTCTCAGCAGGGGGCCTGGTTAATGTGTGATGCTCTCCTTTGGTGCTGTTTGGCTCCAGTGTTCTTTGGAGTCTGGGGAGGTTTGTCCTTTAAAAATCAAACTGCCATGGAAACTGCTTTACCTGAAATTTTGGTTCACAGCCTTCCTTGCATAATCTATTGGGGCAAACAAAGTAAAACCAGCAAAATGGCATTGCTATCTCATGGCTAGGATTCTAAGGTAAAAGTTATTGAATCTTCATTCGTGTGTGTATATACCTGTCTACATGTGTTTATTTGTATGGATACTTATTGTTATATGTTGTGTCTACCAAATTGGCTTATAAGTAAGAGTGCTCATAAATTAAGTAAATTAAGCAATTTTCAAGTTCACATGACTTAAGTATAACTTTACTAAACAAGCTGATTTTAAAATTATTGGTAAAATAAAAATGGAAATGCTTTCAGAATTGTCAGCATACATTTTTGTCTGGATTTTATATTTGTCTCTGCTAGATATTTTAAGATATCAGGGTTTGGCAAACAAGGTTATAAAACTACAAACCCAGCCAAAACAAAATGATCTTGGTTTGCATGCCTCTTTTTGACAAATGAGAATAATTTAATGTTTGCTAAATCTTCTGAGTTATTGGCAAAATTACCCATGTATTTAACTTTGAGACTGTTACTTAGGTTTAGGTGAGCACCTGATGTTCATTGGTATTAAAAACGTGGTTAACAAGGAAATAACTAATTTTAAATTCTAGTGTCTAATGTCTCAGTTTACAGAAGTAATCTAGATAAACTGCTAAAAGTAAAAGAATTGAGTACAGTGAATGGAACAAATATTTTAGGTAAATTTTTTGTGTAAATTAAAATCTTAAAATTATTTTTGATGCTCATTTAATATCTGGATCATTTCCAATTAAAAAAGAGTTATGATATGAGGAAATATGTTTCTAAAAATTGTGGAATTGTTCTTATCTATACATGCCCATATGTGACAGTTCAGGACTTCTGGCTTCTTATGGTTTCATTAAAGTTTTAGGTTACTAAGGATAAGAATTCTAGCTTATGCATAATTCTGTATACAAAATGTGTCAGAAAGTGTTGTGTTATTAGTGAGAAAAAGAATACTTTTGCCTAATTCAGAAGTTACCTAAAAGTTAGTTCAAATCACAGATTTGAAAAGGTTATTTTTGAACAATGTAGTAAGGAACCAGTAAGTAGGGAATGACAATGTGGAAAAGTTTAGATAATAAAATATTCTTTAAAACCTGATAGAGAATTGAATATATTTGCTTAATTAACATTTTCATAGTTAAGGGTTTTAGTCTTGATTAAAGTAAAATGAGAAATATTATAAAGAAATGCATTGGCAGTTTGGCAATCCTTTTTTTAAATGTAGTTAAGCATGAATCCAGATTTAGTGTGGAGCCAAATTTCACATACATGCTCGCATTACTTTACACTATGTTCATAGTTTTGTGTGGATAGTGCTGGCACTGGCATGCTTATTGGTCATGTGCCCAGAGTGAATTTCTTGATTGTACAAGATGTATGGTAATATTGGTAGGCTTAAGGCTATTGAATTGTGTATCAGGAATGAAACATTCACTCTGTGGATTTTTGGGATAACACTCTAACCTCCAGTGTAGATTGACTAGGAAAAGCTTAAGGTTGGTTTCCTGTTTTTGTTTTTAATTTTCATTCATTTGCTGTTTATTCTCCTTTGGGCTTTGCATATGTATGTATATATACAAAACCATGATTTTTTTTTTAGGTTCTAATGGAAGGCTTTTATTTGGTTCTGTGAATAGTTATTTTGTCTCCTATGCATTTCTAGCAGGTCACCATTTGTTCTATTTATTAGGAATCCTTAGGCTACCTTTGTCAGGCCTGCAGGAATTAATGGAGCATGGAGCACACCAGCTTTTTAACTTTTTGGAGTTTAAGCTTCCTGATATGTTAGGTGTGTTGAGTATACTTTTGTAAATAGAATTTGAGTCATCTCTCTCTCTCTCTCTCTCTCTAATTTCTCCAAAATTTGTAAACTATTTGTGAACGTTCTTAATTCATAGTAATGTGTTTGTTTGCATACAGCCAAGCAAGGCTGCTAGGTCTGCTCAGGAGGAAAGAACCCAGAAATGCAACATGCTGGCAAAAGGGTAAAAATTTCCTACCATTCAGACTCTGGCCTCTCTCTCTCTCTGTGTAAACTTGTTAAATGAATGGTAAAAGTCACTGTTTACCTCCTCTGTAAAATTTGTATTAATACAAAAAAGAATTCTGAGGCTAGTCTTAAACTGTAGTGAATCTGGTGTGCTTTGTGTGTCTTTCTGTATTATTCTGTCATACAGGGGGTACCTTAGGATGAAATGTGTACTTAGGACCCCATAGGTCCCCTGTTCAAGACAGCTCAGCAAACTTGTCAGTCATGTCCTTGGGGGCTTGACCTTGTAACCATGTGGCCATTCTTTCTCTTTTCACAATGGTGTCCCAGGTTTAGGGTTTAATTCCTGGCTTAGGGAATGAGTCCTTTGTCATCTGTCTGTCTGTGTTTTTATATGTGTTGTATATATAATATAAAAGAGGTTTAATTAATTGGTTTAAAAATAAGAGCTTAAATCAAATATTTTGTCAGAAAAGTAAAAAGTGTAATGTCTTTTAATTAGTTCATGTTACTTAAATAATCTTTGGGAAATAAGACAGTTTTAAAGATTATTGGTAAAATAAAAATATCTTCAAAATGCAAACATTTGGTCTAAATTATGCAGGTCAGATATTAGGTTTGTTAAATGCTTTAAGGTCATATACTGCTTCTTTGACTTTTAAAATTTGTTCAGTTTATTTGAGCAATTGATTCTAGATAAGACCTGGGGACATGTGAAATTAGCCACATCCCCTAACTATGCAAAGAAAGTTATAAAGAAAAGATATTTTATATAAGATAGGATTTTGTATGGTAAATTATTGTCCTAAAGTAAAATAACTGGATGTTTCAAATGGGAGATGTTTAGGACAAGCCAGAAAGTCCAAGCATGTTATAGATGGTCTGTGTAAGTTGTGAAATTATTTATAAAAGAGAATTTATGCAAGAAATGTTGTACAATTTAAAGGAGATTAGGCCTCCTAAATGCTTCATAAAATGTCACTACTTGCCTGCTTTACAGCTGAGTAAGGCCTGGGACACATGGAGTTAGATACTGGAAAGAGATAGACCTTATCTGAACTTCTGTCTGGGTCCTAGGCTCCACACCTAGCACATAATTAAAATCCTGAACTTACCAAGGTTTTCACCCAAAGTAAAAGTCGCTAAGAGTTAACATTGTAACATGTAATTGAGATTACTGAAGAAACAGTTTTACATGAACAGTGTGTAAGCATAGTCAAATATGTTTTTGGTAAAAGATTATAAGATTGGGAATATGGATTTATTTTTTGCCTAAATGGTTAAAGGATTGTTTTAAGTTAGGCTAAAGCTAAATGTTTGAACAAACTGTGGAAGGTTTGTAAAAAAAAAATAAAATCTCATGAAAAATTCTGTGTGTGAACATATTGACTAAATTTAAGGGGGCATTTGCTGGTTTTTCCATAAATTAAACATTGAAATAAAAGCACAAACAGGGTTTTCTTAAAGCATTGATGTGCTCTTTAACAAATACTTGCAAAGGGTTATAAAAGGTTTATGAGAATCTCACCTTGTGGTCAAACTGATTAAGATTGGAAAGATTTGTCTATAAAGTTTTATTTAAAAATTGGGGTTAACATTAATAGTATACTAATGCAAGAGTAAAATTTAGTTTTCTCTCTTAAACAAGATTTTCATGTAATATTAAAAGATAATGGCTGGGTGTGGTGGCTCACACCTGTCATCCCAACATTTTGGGAGGCCAAGGTGGGAGGATCAACTGAGGTCAGGAGTTTGAGACCAGCCTGGCCAACATGGTGAAATCCTCTCTCTACTGTACCAAAATTAGCCAGGTGTGGTGGTACGTGCCTGCAATCCCAGCTACATGGGAATCTGAGGCAGGAGAATTGCTGGAACCTGGGAGGCAGAGGTTGCAGTGAGCCAAGATTGTGCCACTGAACTCCATTTTGGGCAACAAGAGTGAGACTGTCTCAAAAAAAAAAAAAAAGATAATTAAAGATTTTTGTTTGCCCTTTGAATAAAACTACTGAAATAAAGAAGGGAAAGACAAGAGACAGATTGTTTGGAAAGCCTTCCATCTATCAATGAGTAAAGGTTTTTGCCTTTAAAAAAAATTTTTTTGAGTCATTATTTGGCTAAATGAATGACTTGTAACCTGGAATTTTATTTCATAATATCAAGTGTTTTAAACCTTTAACATATTTGATAGGCTTCCCAAAATCAAAATTGCCTTTTTCTGACTTCTAACTTTGAGATGCTACAGAAGGCCCCTGAAGCTTCCAAAAGAGAGGTAAACAGAATTATTTGACATGTTGAGTTACATGAGAAGCACTGTCAAAAGTAGTTTTTAAAAACGTTTAATCTTCAGGTTAGGTTTTAGTGAATGATATTAATATATGTTACAAAATTGTATAGAATTTCTAAAATTTTAATATGTCTGATTATATGCTATCAATCATAATTATGGATATTATGTTAAATTATTGTAAACCACAGAAATAACCAAATTTCCTTGTCAATTGTATTTTTAACTATTTAAAGTCATTTCTACAGTTAATTACTTAATACTGATGCAGTTTCTGAAAATTTCACAAGCACAAAAATCCTAGAATATGGTGTCTTTGAGAAGGTTCAGTAAAGGAAGAAAAGAACCCTAAAAAGCACTCTTGAATACAAGTTTCTAATAACTTTTTAATCATATCATTTGAACTGGGTAAGAATTCCTGGAACCTTAATGAAAAGAGTAACTGGGTTATAAAGCTGCTAACCTAAGTAGAGCAAAAATTAATTAAATAACAAGAAAATACTTTGCCAGATTTTCATGCTAAATCAGCTGATACTTAAATTGTTTAGATACACAATTTGAATGAACTTCATGGTCTAAGAGTCAAATTACCTTTTTTAACCCATCAGTTACCAGTACTATGCACCTAATTTGGAGAAACGACTGGTATTCAAGAGGATGTAAGTCTAATGTTAATTAAGCATTGACTCATGAAGAACCATGTTGGCCACCTTGTCCTTCCTGAGTCCTTAAAGCTTTTATTATTAAAAGTTCTGCACTCTGTCACTCATTATGGAAAAGATAAAATGATACAAATTGAATATATTGGTGTGGTGACTTATAAATTGCTAAAATAGTTTATAACCAATGTTTCATCCCATATTCCTAGGAAAACAATTAAAGCTTCAGATATATGTGATCACCTGATGGACCACTCAAATATTTTATAAAGGGATTTCATTCAATTTTTACCTTCAATGCATGTTTTCTGGTTATATAAATGCTCTCCCACACAAGAGGGCTGATGTTATAACACTAAGTTATTATGCCACAGTGCATTTTCATCTGGTAAAGAAAGCTTTTTATGATTCACTGAAGACAATCAAGCCTTTCACAATCTAGAACCCAAAAATTGGATCTTCTGAGAACATCAGAGAAAGACTGTCCTTGCCATCCACATTGCAGCCAAAGTTTGGAAACTTGAACTTTGGGTTCATAATCTCACAACTAAGAAGTGTCCCTCCACACTCATGGAACTGTACACCCGTTGGAACCCTTAAGGTAAAACTAACCAGGGAAGTCCCTCCTCAGAAGAAAACATCCTTGATGTGAACAGCTTTTCCCAAGATCATGGATCAAGGCTTCTACTATCATGAGACACTTACCTATGAATATTTTTTCTTGTTTATGTTTCTATGAACAATAGAAATGAAAAAGAGATCTGTTGTGTGCACTTACGAGGTATATTTTTTATTTGTGAAGGATTTTGCAGGCAGCCTTATACATGGATAAACTTATACTTTGATAGATAAAAGATTAAGGTCCAGTATAAGTCAGAAACTTCAATGGTGCATATGTTGCTTCATAATCAGTTAGAAACAGAACATTGGTTCACCCCTCTTAACCCACATTATGGGTTAAAGAGAACATTGCCAGGAGGCCTTCACTCTTATAGAAGGGCATCATTTGTTAGGACCTTTTTCCATGGTTTGGAGTAAACAAGTCAATGATTAGAATGTATCCCTCATAATGGGCTCTATAGCAGATTCTACTGTAAAGGCTATGGTTACACAACAGACTTTAAAGTTCTTTTGAAAGTTATGCTAAATAATATAACTGGCTAAACAGAAAAGTGTCTGGAGAACACAGCAGATATTATAGAGATTCAGTTGTAGCAGATTAACAAAGAGACTGCTTAGTTAAGCAAGTAGACTCTTTAGCTCATTCTTTGATCTCTTTGATTTTAGGATGTTTGGTTTATGGGGGCCCTGGGTAAGGAGCATACTATCTCCAAGAGGACAGTCATTATATAGTCATATTATAGTCATAATAATAGTCTCCCTGGCATGCTGTATTCTCCCAAAGGCTTTAAATGTTTGCATGCAGCCATCTCTAAGATGTCAAATGGTCTCTCTTCAACTGGAGTGACAAGAGCTGAAAGAAGTGTGAGACCATGAGAACACTGTAACCTATGAATGACATACTGAGACCAGAAACCCAAAATGATGGTAACTGAGAGTAGTGCTAAGGCTCTAAGTTTTGGTCATACTCTCCCTATATGAGGACCTGATCAAAAAGGGAGAATTAAATATATATATATATGGTAGGCCATTGTTTTGGACTGAGCTCATGCACTAGCCCCAACAGACCAAACCAAACCAAAATGGAGTTGCTTGTGCTAAGACTTTAAGGAAACACACAGCTCCTAGAACAGACCAGGTTTTCTTTTTCTTTCGCAAATCTCTATAATAAACATTCCTGATAGCATAGGTATCCACACCCTGAAATTCCATTAAATCTTTTAACCAAATTCATTTTATCTCATCTAGAGACCGTCAAGCTTCATATGATCATGCGACAGGGGTTCCAGCCAGTTCCAGGTAAAGACACCACCCCTGGCCGTCATGGAGCTACCCTGCCTTCACTAGACAGAGCATGGCAAGAGTTCTGTGATCTCCAATAGGTAGTGACTATGCCCCAAGCCAGCATGAAGCAGTCACAGAAGAAAGAGCACCAGATCCGCCACCTCCCATAAAGATTTATGGAGATTACATCTTTCAGGGGGGAAATGAGGAAGGAGAATAGGGCCTGGAGACAGGGAACCTAAAGACTTCCTAGAATGAAATCAAATGGAAACACATCAGCTATTTCGGGAAATATCCTCTTTACTTACATAGGGCATATACCAAGTTACCAATGGAAATGTCTAGAGGGTATTTAAACCCCAGAAAATACAGTAACAGAGCTCTTGAGCCCCTATGCTCAGGCCCATTCCCACCCTATGGAATGTACTTTCATTTACAATAAATCTCTGTTTTTGCTGCTTTATTCTTTTCTTGCCTTTTTTGTGCATGTGGTACAATTCTTTGTCAAGATGTCAAGAACTTGGACACACTCTACTGGTGGCACTTCTTTATAATTTCTTACTGCTTAAAAGTCACATACTCCTTGTCACTAGGTTCTAACTTCCCTTAAATGTTTCCACAGATAGCATCTTTAATGTTAAGAAACCTCAACTTTTCCACGTGAGATATTTTTCAGATTCTGTATTCCAATGGGTCCACCGACACCAGCCAGTTTGAAAATCCTCTCTGAGGAACTGACTCAGTGCAAGAATGCAGTTTCTATATCTTTATGATTTCCTCCCCCATTCCCCAACCAATCACCTCCTTTGCCCTCTACCCATTGAAATTATCTTAAAAACTCCAGTTCAAAACCCCTCAGGGTGGCAGATTTGAGGTTTCCTCTCATATCCTCATTTGGCTTCCCTATGATTATTAAACTCTTTCTCTGCTTCAACCCCTGCTATTTCAGTGTAATGGTATGTTATTGTGCAATGGGTAATCGAACCTGGTGATCTTATAACAGCTGGCATACGTCTTGGAGTTCAAAGGCTAAACAGCCTGGAGTTTGGATGTGCAAGGGCAGAAGAAATGTGTTCCAGCACCAGGAGAATGAGCGAGAGGAAACTGTCTTTCCTTTTCTGTTCTATTCAGGCCCCCAACTGATTAGATGGTGCCCACCCACATTGAGAACAGATCTTCCCCACTCAAACCCCAACTCACTAATCAGTCTCCTTGAGAGACACCATTACATGTGCACCAAAAAATAATGCTTTGCCAGTTCTCTAGGTCTTCTTTAATCCAGTCAAGTTGACACCTGAAACTAACCATCACAAAGGTCAAAAATTAAAAGTTTATTGTATTAAAATTATATATCATATATATTTTAAATTGTCAATAGGCAAGTTAAAAATCACGTATTAAACATCTCATTTACCTTTACCTTAAAAAACTTATGTATAAATGTAGAAGGATTAATAGTATTCAAAATTCACTACTTCCTAACCACCATAGTAATAATTTATTCAGGCAAGAATCAAAGTCGAGGAATGAAAGTACAATAAAGAATGATATATTCCCGAAGTAAATGTATTGTTTCAAAGTATTTCTCCACAAAATACTTACCAGTTACAAAGGGAGAAATGGTAACTCTACAGTGGGGAATCTTTGTAAATATCAAAGCAACCTAGTTATCAAATTAATATGTGATAATAATAGAACCAATTGGTATGTTTTGCCTCCTGATGTGATATGCTCAAAAATAATCTAAAATTATTTTGATGGTATTTCCAAGTATGCATAATCTGAATCTAATCACGCTAAACATCAGGGAACTCAAATGGAGGGACAATATACACATAACTACACAGTGTTCTTTAAAAATGGAAAGGTCATAAAAGGGAAAGACTAAGGAATTGTTCCAGAGTAAAGGAACAGATTAAAGGCAATTGTTAAAGACAATGAGTCATCCCTTTAAAAAGGACTAATAAAAATTTAAAATATTAGCAAACTGCTTAAGAAGAGAAAGCACAAATAGCTAACATGAAGAATGAAAAATTGGACTTAAATCAGAAAAAGACAAAACACTTTACAAAAGAAGATATCCAAAATGGTACTTAACATCATTAGTCAGCAGGTATACGCAAATTAAAGCCAAATAAAATACTATTATACATCCTGAATGGCTATTATGGAAAAATGAAAAATGACAAGTGCTGATGAAAATATAGAACAATGAGAACTCCCATATACTGCCACTGGGAAGATAAATTGATACAGCCACTTTGAAAAACTGGCAGTATTTCTAAACATGGAGAAATATATACTTGCAAATCAGAAATTTTACTCATAGGCATATAGCCAAAAGAAGTATATAAATCACATATTGACCAAAGACATGTAGTAGAATGTTCAGAGAAACTTTTCATAACATTTGTCATTTAAAAATTCAATGTAGAACAAATAATAAAATTGTCACGTAGTCACATACTGCCAATACTATACTACAGCAATAATAATTGATGATCTACAATTACACACACACAAAACAAAATGTTGAATGAAAGAAGCGTGAAACAAAATTAAATTTTGGGGCCCCAAACTCATTTAGCTAAAAGGAAGAGTCAAGCTAGGAGCTGGGTTATGCAAACCTGCATCCCGCTTTTGCTTCCTAAATAAGACAACTACAAGATGAAAGGCTACACACCTCCCCCATATTTTGCTCAAAATGAAATTCCTAGCGAGCTGTTAAAATTTCACCAAGGCAATGCAAATCGACAGCTTATCTTTATAGGTGCAGTCACCCATGGGCCACCAAAATAAATTCTTATCTGATTGTTCCCCTGCCCCATTATGTCTATATCTTTTTTTTTTTTTAATTGAGACAGAGTCTTGCTCTGTCACCCAGGCTGGAGTGCAGTGGTGCAATCTTGGCTCACTGCATCCTCCACCTCTGGGTCAAGCAGTTCTCCCACCTCAGCCTCCCGAGTATCTGGGATTACAGGTGTCCACCAACACATCCAGCTAATTTTTTGTATTTTTAGTAGAGATGGGGTTTCGCCATGTTGGTCAGGCTGGTCTTGAACTCCTGACCTCAAGTGATCCACCCGCCTTGGTTTTCCAAAATGTTGGGGTTACAGATGTGAGCCACCACACCCAACCTGATCTATGTTATCTTATGTAAACTGTAGATTCACTGAGCCAGAACAAAGGCATAAATGACATTTTTCCCTACCTGACTCTTGCATGAAAATTGTGTGCTTCTCAATATCCCACCCTTTCCTCTTTAAATTTGGAGCCCTCAAAATCATCTGCAGAGAAAGGCATAGACCTGTCTCTGGGTTTGTCCTTAACTTTGGCAAATAAATCTCCTAAAATGATTAAGATTTGTCTCATTATTTTTCTGGATTGACAGAAGCTAGACACAAGTGTATATATATCACACACACACACATATATATATCATTTATACATTTCTATACACAGCTTAAACTGATCTACATTGTTGGAAGTCCAGATATTAGTTATCCTTGATGAAAGGTGGTAATTGCAAGGGAGGACATGGAATATTATTAACGTTCTGCTTCTTGATCTGGGTTTTGGTAACACAGGTATGTTTCTTTACAAAAATTTATTGAGTTATGTATATTTTTTCTGCATGTATATTTTACTTCAATTGAAGTTTTTAAAATTATATTTATTTTACTTATCAGATTTTCAAGATAAAAAATTTAATAATACACTGGTCTACCAAGGATACAGAAAAATAAGCATCCTTATGCTTGTCGGCATGGGGGTAATGTGGTACAACTTTGGTATAAAGAGTGTTAACAGAGAGGAGTGCCAAGATGGCTGACTAGAAGCAGCTAGTGCATACCTCTCTCAGGGGGTAATGTGGTACAACTTTGGTATAAAGAGTGTTAACAGAGAGGAGTGCCAAGATGGCTGACTAGAAGCAGCTAGTGCATACCACTTGACACAGTGGCAAGTAAACACTAGTTCTTCAAGTGGTTCATCCAGAAGGTCACATTGGGATTCATCCGGGAAGCATGGAAAACCATGGAAAGCAGAGAGGAGTGAAGCAGGACAGCCACCCCTGCTGGATTGGCACAGAACCAGAGGAGGCGCCCTACCATGGGAAAAGGGTGAGTGAGAACCCCTGAGGAACTACATCTCCACCATGGACCTTTTCAATCATGAACACAGGAGATCTCCCTTGACCCTCCTGGACCTCCACACCAACATGGAGAGCTGCCTGGAGTCTGGACAGAGCCATGACTCAGGCCCATGTTGAGCCCCACAGGCCTTGGATCCCTGAATACCTAAGTGCCAGCTGCTGTAGCCTCACCAACAAGGGAGGCCAGACTCCTTTGTACACCCCTAGTATAGGGGCCACATCCACAGTGCTGAGGAGTAAATGGACTTTAGGCCCCGCCTCTACTGTACCTTACTGGGCAACGCCCTCTGGCCTGGTTCCCCAGCACAGCCACCCTACCCTAGCCTGATCACTGTGGCAAATCAAGGCTCTCCATTTCTCTAGGACATAGGTCCCAGAGGAAACAAACAGGCCCACTGTAATTTCCACTATCACAATTCCTGTCCCTGCTGCCCTCAGGATGGGGAGGAAGCGAAGAGCCTGAGAACTTTCATGGACCTCCAACATGCCACAGCTGCCATACAAAAAGGCAGCCAAACTGTCTTCCATGTAGGTCCCTCCTCTACTACCCCTCCCAGCTTGGGACCCCAGCACAGCCACCCCACCACTGCCTATTCACTTCAGTTGGTGGTGGCTTGTCATTTCCCCAGGATGGAGCTTTCAGAGAGCACTGACTGGACTTCTGCCATTGCCACCGTTGTGGTACCAACCCTTGCTTCCCTGGGCTGGAGAGGGAATAAAGAGCCTGATTGCTTTGCTTGCATGTCCAACAAGCCACAGCTGCCCTATGGAGAGCCAGCCAGATGTCTTCCTCACAGGGCCCTACTTCCTCTGCTTTCCACCAAGCAAGGCCAGCTTAGGCCTGCAGTGCTGTTGCTCCACGCCCAGTTTATCATTCCAATTGGTTATGGCTCTGTGTTTCTCTGGAGTGGAGCCCCCAAAGGCAATTAACAGCCCTCTGACATCACCACCACTGTGGGTCCCACTCCTGCTATCCCCAAGCTGGTGAGGGAACTAAAAAAACCTGAACTTGTCCCAGAGCTGTGGTGTATAGCTTGGGAGTGCTAAGCAGGGATCTGTGATTAGCACTGAAGCAGGAGAGGAGCCCACACTCTCAGGCACTGAGAGAGGTGAGTCACGCAGGCTTGTAGGATAATACAGGAGCAAGACAAGCCTCCCTCTGCAGGGCCAGCCTGGAAAGTGTTGGCCTGTCTCCCTGCTGTGTCTTCTGCTTGAGGGAGCCCCATGGCCTGGAACATCTAAAATAGAAATGCAGACACAGTGCCAAAGACCAGAAGGGGCTTCTCGAAGGCCCAGCAGCAGACCTGGTG